AGTGCAAACCTGAATTTTTAAAAATAGTTTTCTGGAAAGACACAAAGAGTCAGGTGATGCAGCAGCCTCTGTGTGGACCTGGGAGGGAGGGCTCTGATCTGTGCTGGTAGACAGGTCTGTGGGAGTCTGGTTTGGGCAGGGATGCCTGAGGTGGAGCCTAGGGCAATTCTGGTCTTTGCTGGGTGGAGCACTCTGGTCCTGGTGGTACCTTGCATAGTTTCAGACAAGGGTGTGTGCCACATTGACTGGCCATTTGATGGGGTGATGTCTTGTAATGATACCTGCAAGGAGACTGAGAATGCAGGAGGATTCACCAGCACTGCCAGAGTGGCTTTCTCAATATTATTGACCAATTGGTGTTGAAGCTCTGACTCTGAAGAGGTGGAATTACCCCATTAACCCAGAGCACTGCCTCATTCTTGACCATGCTCCTGAGCTGGTGGCAATCGCACACCTGCTGTGAGCATGGGGCAGGGGGCAAAGGCCTGGCTTCCCTCAGTGCAGACCATGGTGCATCACAGAGAGGAAAATCACCAGCCCTGCTGGTGGTTGTGAGGCGGCGGCAAAGGGTCTCTGTGAGCCCCCTTCCACCACCTGAACCCCCTACATTTTCTGATGTATCCTTTCCTGTAATTAATTACATGTCCAGTGGGCTCATTTCTTTCATACTGTTACTGACAATCTGTTAGCTAAAGGGAAAAAAATGTGTTGGTGCCTTGTGGTATTGAAAGTGAAGGGTTTTCACACTGTCAGGGTAATGAATTCTGCATGGGTTTGAAGCACCTGAGCTTGGGGGAGTCCTTGTGTCATGTGTCTGGGAGTGACAACCCCCAGTGGTTAATTACTGCCATGGATGAGAGCTGAGCTGATAGCAAAATGAGATAATTTCATTAGTAGTTAAATTTGAAGTTAATTGGATTCACGTTTACACACAGTAGTGTACAAAGACACACTTGAAAATGCTCTTTGCCACCTCTTGAATTTTTTTGAAGAGGGTAGATGAATTGAGGAATGCTTCTAAACTGCTCCCTCTTTTTTTGCATTGTGGTTGTGAGACAGGAGAGTCCTTTGCTGCTGCAGGCTGCTCTCTGCTCCAGACATTTCGTCCTGCAGCAGGGACATTTGCTGATGCCCAAGAGCTGCTTGCCTCATCTCTGCAGGGGTTGCTGCTAAGCTCTTCTGTAGCAGGTGGCAATATTTCTTGTACGGAAGAAAATTCCTTATTTACACTTTCTTTGCAAAATGATAGTTTGCTTTCATTGTGAGTGTTGCCAGCTCCTAGTGAATGGAAGGATGGACATTTATGGACTATCTTCTGTGTGCAGAGCCTTTGACATGTACAGGGGCATCTGTAGCAGAGGTGTTTGATCCACTCCTCACAATGACAATACTGGTGCTCCCCCTAAGACATTTCACTTCTGGAAGTCAGAGGAGTGATGGGTCAGCATTGCCTTGGAGGTATTTGCCAGGAACCTGAAGGAGCCTGGTGAAGCAGTCTGGAGGAGGTGATTGGATAAAGGAGATGGCAGGGTCCAGCTGAATGAGCACTAGAGCTCCCTGTGTGTCAGGGAGTTGTGCTGGTTTCAGGTCAGGAGACATCACTGAAGGCACCGATGCTGCTTGGGCCATCAGCCTCTCCATGGGGAGGCCACTGTAGGAAAGACTCAGAAAGCTGTTTTGGTACTTGAAGCTTAAAATTGTTGGCAGAAGTTGTTGGAAAGAGGTTGTTGGTTACCTTAGAAAATTCTGCTAAGCTCTGCTCTAGTTGAACTTCTCTATAGGCTGGATCTGGCAGCTGAGCTGCTCTATCCTGCACAATACCAGCCCAGCAATGCAAGGAGGTTGCTCTGTCCACAGCTGCATCTGCCCCATTTCTAATTTTAGTTGTCTAAAATAACCTTCAAAAATCACAGGACAAAGACATTAAGGAAGAAATGTGTCCTGAAGGACCTAGGTTCCTATGCCTGTGTTTTCTACTGCTAAAATGTAGATGTTAATTTCCTCTTGAGTGCTTTGCCTGTATGAGTAAGGCAGGAACACCCTGGAGCAGAGGCTCCTTCATAACCTCTCTTTGTACTAGGTGGAGTAGTGTTTTTCTCTTAAATCAATTGTTCTAGTGTAGTTGAAGCTTGCCAGAACTGGGGCCTCTCAGGCCCTCCCTGAGACTTGCCTGTGGGGACCCTACAAGGAAGATTTGTTGATAGATGACAGAACATTTCATTTGGAAATGGGATGTAATGGAAACTAGCCCAGACTTGTGGAATAGATCATGGGTGATGTTTTCTTTATTGACTGAAGAGCAGAGGTCCTACTTGTCATGGTGGTTACCTTGCTCAGTGCCCTTGACAATGATCCTAATCATTCCGGGTGTGGCAGCGGCTTTGGAGAAAGTGAAGAATTTGTAATATTTCAAGACGCTGAAGTAAATGTCAAGGTTTTTTATGATAGCTGTGGAAAGTGAGGAGTGGCGTGTAGTCAGTGTGGGCCAGTTTGGGAGGGGGAGTTTTCCCACAGGTCAAGGCACCCTTGGGGCATGCCATGTTGTGCCATTCTGTGGTGACACCATACAACCAAGGAAGGGACGAGTCCTGATTTCCCTCCTGGGTCTCCGGAGGGCTCCTAGGTGGCAGTAGTCAGCCTGTGAAATGTTCGTCTGCATTAGGGACAGCCGTTAGCTGCATCCCTGCTAGCACTGGGGATGAACTTAGCTTCTGAGACTGACTTTATGTAGACTGCAGATACTTTTGTAATCTCCAGACTGTAGAGGTGACATAAAGCATTTAATTTTGTGTGGGAGAGAAGGAAGCAGGGCATTGATGAGGGGAGAACATTTTAATCTAAAATAACCATTTTCTGCCTGCACTGAATAATTAGAATTCATTATGCCCTTCCGTAAGGGATGTGACTTCGCCCTAGCACTGGAGAGCAAATTAATCAAAATTGTTTTGAACCTTAAATTCTTTTAGGATGTGAATGCACCAGAATGCATTCTGTAGGAAAGGCCTGAGAGGAACAGCTTGCATCCTGATTTGTGGATACTGAGTGTGGAGGAAAGTGGGGCATGTGCTAAGAGATCACTGCAGCGATGCTGGAGTTTTGGCATATACCCCTTCATCTGAGGGTAGGGGGAGGCAGTCGTTATGGCCATGACCCAGAGATTGTGAACCACAATTTGCAATTACTTGTATGCCTGTCTCTTGTCTCATCTGATGAAGTCTCATTTATTAAAATAGATCGAAAAAAGGAAGATTTAAAAGTTTTCTTTTTGGATCAGTTAAAAATTAAATTTGGGCTCAAAATCTTTACCAAACAAAAAACTTTAAAAAAATTGTTTTGGCTTTTTGTAAAGATTTTCAGTTTCAATATCTCCAAGCTCTACAGGCTTGAAAAAAGTAAACTGTATTAAAAACAATTTCCTAGAGAACATGATGTAAAAAAACAGAATCAGTGCATTTTTTCTTGTCAGTGTTGCTAAAATCAACAAAGTCATGTAACTTTTGCTGATCCAACATACTACCTTTTAAGGAAGGATCCTGATTTTTGCTAATGAGCTGTTTTGGGCCAACAGAATCTTGGAGTTGATTGGTGCCAGAGTGATCCCTGTCCTGTAGAGGCTGGAAGAGCAGAAGGGACAGGTGCTTCATGCAGCCCAGAGTCCCTTCCTCATAACTGAGGTGCACACTCAGCTTTTCAGAGCTAAGGTCTCATGCAGTGCTACTGTCTCTAGCTGTGGTTTGGATCTGATGGACCCCTTATTTTTTCCTGGCCTTGGAGGAGCCACTTGACAGGCTGGAAGAGCCAGAGGGGCGGATCTGAGGGGCAAACTAAAGTGGTACCTGATGCTCACACTGGGAGGAGATTGCAGAGCCTACATCCAGCTGCTGACCAAGCCATGGTGTTAAAGGGTCAATGCTGCCAAGGTGTGTGTCTTGAAAGCAACTTCTCCTTGGCAAAGTGTTCTGCCCAAGGATGCCATGGGAGCCCAGAAGACCATGAGTGGGTTCCATGATTTCCTCTGGGGTGAGGGATGGATCCTGACTGATGAGATCATAGGAGCATGGTTTTCTTCTGGAGGGTGTCTTGTGGCCACAGCTGACAGTGGTCTGCCCAAAATCCCACTGCAGCAGCCTGAAGGGATGGTGACTATTCCAGAATCTCCACATGGGAGCAGGGTCCAGACGTGACTGAGGAAACACTTCTGTAGCATTATGTGAGCAATGTTACCTGACCTCTTGTCTTTACACTGCCAACAGAAACATGTCCTTGAAGGTGATAGGAGATGTGTCTGGGAGAAGATGAAGGAAGAGAGGGTACCCCAGACCCCAGGTCCAGGGGCAGAGGGAAATGGAAGACATCCCACTGCCTGCTTTTGTGGGAAGTCCTGTGGGTACTTGACTAAAACCCATACTTCTGTGGCTAAGGAAAGAGCAGTGCATCAGGCTGTGTTTGCAAATCTGATTCTTCTTCTGGCACTGTGACAGACTATATTTTAAACCACCTTCATGTCTCAATGCCATGTGTTTGCTATATTTTTTATTTTATTTTTTTTTACTGCTTTAATAAGAGATAAAACGAACGCCCTGCATTGTATTTAGATCTCAAACAGTTTCAGCCTGTGCATGTGATTTTCTAGGGAGTTTTCTGGCAAAATGTCATTAAGTTCTGTGTTATTTCCCATTTCACTGCTTTTGACTTTACAAATCTAAGCTTTAGAGGAATTTGGGAATAGGGGTGAGCAGCTGGAGTTCAGGCGGGTCTGTTCCTCTCCCTGCAGAGCTGTGCTCTTCACCTTCCAGTCTCGCACTTCATTGGAGCTTTGTGGCAGCTTATAGAGAAAACAAAACTGTGCCTGCCCTCCCTGCCAGGCTGGAAATCCCATGCTGGTCCTCACAGAGCAGTGATGACAAATGCATGGCTGTGTTCTGGGTGCTTGGGGAGATGTAAAACCATGTCTGCTTGTCGCAATGCTCACGTGGTGATTTGTTGGTTTGATTCTTCAGGTCGCGAGCTGGCAAGTACAACCCTCCCAGGATACCCTCCACATGTCCCTCCTGCTGGACAGGGCAGCTACTCCGCTCCAGCGCTGACAGGAATGGTGCCTGGTGAGTCTTCAGAGTAGGGGGGAAGGATAACATGAAGGGAAAACAAATAGCATTTCAGGAAAGAAACACTGTGTGCTGTAAATGTTCTGCCAGGTAGAAGCCACAGTGCTGAAGGGTAGGTGTGGAGTGATCCTGAGTGAAGTAGGACCAGGCTCCCCAGAACAGGAGGCTGCATAATCTGCAGAGTGCCAAAGCAAAGTGTTGGCACTGAAATGCTGAAGGAGCTCCCAGCCTCCCTTCTGTGGAGCCTGGAGATTGCTCAATACTGGGCTGTGCCAGGCTCTACTCACCTGACTCAGCTTTGCTCTAACTCGCCTTGTTTCTTCCAACATTGTCCCTCTGTGCTGCTCCAGCAGTGAGGTCATTGGCCCTAGGGGCTGGACATGTCCTGGCCTCAGACTTCCTGCGTGCCAACCTGACTCATGGGTACACTGGGTTGTTCCCAGGACACTATACTTCTGTAATTTCCTTCCCATTTTGGAACCTCACAGTCAGAAATGCCAGGTGTCATGAGCCAGCTGGTGGCTACTACTTGCCTCTGTAGCAGCAGAAGCTAAGCTTGTGCAGGTGACTAGGGTGGGCAGAGTAGGTTCTGCAGGTGTGTCACATCACTGATGCCAGCCTTCAGTGCTGTTAGCTGCAGATCTGCACACAATTCAGAGTAGGATGGGGACTTCTGGGTACTGGCAACAAGGAGTGGTGGGGCACAGCGCTCGTGTATTTTTTCTGGGGAATTACCACTTTTTTGGGAGCAGCTGCAAGGGTGGATTGGCAGAGCTGCAGGATGTGGGGCTTAATGGTGCTCAGCCAGAGGAGGTGCACTGTGAGGTTCAGTGATGTAGTCATCTGAGCCGATTTTCCCAGGTAATAGATTTTATTTTTAACTACATATAGGCTTGTGTGACCCATTATATTGAATAACTGCACTGTTCCTCTCACTGGTTCCTTTAATAACAACCTTCTGCTCCAGCTAGTGTGAAGGTCAGCTGCAATTCCTGTAGGTTCTTCGTCTCATTTAAGTGAGAATTTGCTAACTAGCATCCAAAATGCCTTCTCAATCCTTCTTTGACTCCTTTGTAGGACCAGCTTTAGAGCCTTGCTAGGGTAAGCACCACAGTCCCTGAGGGGTTGACAGTAAGGCAAGTGACAGACCTAGTCTGCTACCATTGACACATCCCTGCTTGTTCTAAAATGGCCAAATTGTCATGCCTGAGCACAGGCATGTGTTTATTGTGCCAGCTCTCAGGAATTTATCTCACGACCTGCCTATGCCTTGTTCTAGTTTTTGGAGCCTTTGCTAGAAATGTGCTTCCTTGATAAGATTTTTAATCATTAGCCATGAATTTCTGTTTGTAATTAAGCAATTGTGTGAGTTAAGTGGTTAGAGACATGGGAGAAATGTATACATAATAACACACAAGCAGTGTTTTGTTGCATGCTTGTTGCTACTGCCATTGCCCCTGCTGAGAGGAGTAAACCCAGCCCTTAGCACACTGGGTGTTTGTCCCACACCTGCTGAGGTCTGTAGATTGCCTGTGGGGCACAGGAAACGTTCACACTTCCTGCATTTGCAAGATGTGCGGATCCAGCTTCATGTTCTGTCCTTATCTCTTCTCCAGCTCCCTCACCACTGCTCATCCTAACGGGAGCACTTTTTCCCCGTGTTAGACTCAGGTCCTTCCTTATCTCTCCCAGAGGCAAGGAGATACACAGGAACCTGTCTCTGCTGCATCTCCATGACTTGTTCAAACACATGCTCAAAATTTCACATTTCCTTCCTTTCCTGCAAAACAAGGGACTTGCATATCAGCAGTGAATTTCCATTTTTATGTGTCTTGTCTGCTATGGCAAAGAATAATCTATTCAAATGCTTTTCTCTGAAGGAACCAAACAAGCAAACACATGGTTTGATTTCAGTCTGAAGCTTTAGGGACTGACAGCTGGCATTGCTTGAGGCTCCCATGAATGTGTTTCCTCTGCAGGCCATTGGCCCTGTGAGCTCCTCCTGCCTTTTGGTGCAGAATTGACTGGTGTAGAATTGACCGCAGGGGAGCTGTCTGGGCTGTGCCGAGGTGCTAACATCCACAGTGCTCTCATGTCACAGGGCACAAGTTAAATGCCATCGTGGGGACAGATGGGTAGACAGGTGGGAAAACAACAGTCTGGGTGGTCAGGCTCAGAGGTAGTGCCTAATGCCACACTCCAGCTGGCTGCTGGTACCACGCATAGAACTGCAGGGCATGGCTAGAGGTCTCTCTTGGTTCACAACTTCCACAGCTAGAAGATAGCCCAGCTTAGCAGGTGTTCAGATGCTAACCTGCATGATGCCATCAGTAGGCTCCAGAGTAGGACACTCATGAGGAGGCATGTAGACAGGCTGAATTGGAGCATGAAACCCAGCAAGGGCAAACCAAAAGCTCCTGCAACAGGAAAAGGACCACTTTGACACAAAACAGGCTGAAGACTGTTCAGTTCCTGAAGCGGTTCCAGGGATGAGGCAGACTGAGAGCTGAACATCAGTCTGCCGTCTGCACTTGTGATGAGAATGGTCAGCTCCTGGGCAGGAACTGGAGGGAAGGAGTTATCCCCCCTCACTTGGAACCTATTGTCTCACAATGGAAATAGTCCTGGTTTGGGCCCCCTTAATGCAAAGAAATAATTGGTGTAAGTCAGAACAAGCAAGATGTAACAGGGTACGACAAAAGTCTCCAAACTTTCCCCTCAAGAGATGGGCCCAGTGGTGAAACAGGTTGCTGAGGGGTTGTGCTGTCCCCATGGTTGAGGGTTTTCAAGGCCACGTTGTGTGAAGCCCTGAGTATTCTGCCCTGGTCTTATTGCTGATCCTGCACTGAGAAGGCCCTTGAGACATCCTGAAGACCTTTCCATCCTGAAATGGTTGGTCATTCTATGACTCAGTGTTTGAACTGAGGTGCTGCTGGAATTGTGCTACAGAAATTCATATGCTTCTACCTGATACTATGGGTAGGGATGGAGGAAGCTGTTAACAGAGGGAGATCAAGCCCGTCACTGTAAAGGAATGGTGCCAGCAGTCCATGCAGAAGAGATACTTCTGCTCTAGACCCCAGTTACCATTAAATGACTTGAACCATGAATCCAGTTTGAGGCTGGAAGGAGACCTATAGACATCTTTTCTGTCATAGGGAAGATCCTAATGTCTGCACAAGGACTGGAAAAAATCACTTTCCACATTCCTCTTCCATACTGTGACCACAGTCTCATGTTGCAGCAGTCCAATGGCACCTTCTTCCAGCCCCTGGCTTGGCATTCTGTTTGCCTGTGCTCTGTGTCCCATGCCTGACTCACCTTTTTTTCCAGGAGACTATTAATGACAGGAGAAGGCAGGTAGACCCAACATAAGATTGGTGACTATTGAAAATAATTCCTGGATGTGCTGGCAGCAGGTATTAACATTGACTCTATCATGTGGTATGTCATGGGATCCTAGGAACAGCCACCAACCTCACCTGGGGAAGTGGACATAGCAGCACCTGGAGCAGCTTGCACAGAATGAACACTTCTCTTTAGCCCTTATTGTCTGATGGCTGATGCCTTGAAGCATGGAAGTTTATATTCCTTGTAAATGTTCATTCTGTCTAGTGCAGCTCTCTGTATATTTTCATTATCTGTTTAGAGCTTTAATCCACTGTTGGATCCTACTAGATTTGTAGCCTCAGCATCATCGCAGGGCATAGGATTACTGAGATACTGTATGCAGAAATTATATATACCAGAAATTATCCCAAATAATTTGGTACTGTTGTTACTATTTGTTCACACTGTGGCTGTGCTGCTAAGGTGCTTTTGCTTTGGAAACATGGAACAGTGTTTTCCTGGCAGCCTTTCCTTTCTGGGGGAAAATGTCTGGGGAAGAGCAGGCAGGAGAAAACTGCATCTTCTCCACCCTGTCATGTACTAAAAACATGAAGCCTTGTGCCACCTGGCTGTGCTTGTTCCATTACAGAGATGTGGTCCTGGGACTGTTGGCATCTTTGGATGGAGATGGTGCTGTCTTCTGCTTGCATTTGCTGCCTTCTCTGCTCCATTTGCTTCCTCACACTTTACTTTGGGAGCTCAGCAGAAGCAAGCTGGGTGCACACTGGGAAATGCAATATTTGCAGGGGTTTTACTCTGTGGCTAGTGTGGGGGGCTCAGAGTCCTTTCCTGAGGTGATGTCCTGGTTTAGCGTTTGAACAGAAGTGCAGCTTCTGAAGCAGCTGTTGGCTGGTCACAGAGACCATATAATTGTCCTATTTCCCTGACCTCTGGAAGACTGGGCCTTCTCTCCAGTGCTATTACTCCTCCTTCATGGGCTCCGCTGCCCTGCTAACTGGAGCTGCCGTGGTGACAGGGATCAGTGCTGCTTGCCTGGGGTCTTTTCTTGATCTTTTGTAGCTTCACAAACCACCAGCCTGTTTCCAGTACTGGCTTAGATCTGTCTTCACGGATCACTGCTTGTGTCCATGGGTCTGCTCCCAAGGTGTATCTGAAGGTCAGGGTTCTCCCATGTGTGGGGCAGATGGTGGTCAGCAGAAAGGGGAAAGAGGGGAAACATGAGGAGTGGTGCAAGAGATAAAGTATGTGTGCCTGCTCTAAGCCAACCATACCAGAAACTGTGTCCCGTTTGGGTCTGGACAGTGCTGAGGCAGAAGGGTTTGCCACAATTTCATTGCTGAGACAGGGGTCGGGACAAACCACACCTATGTCCACATGCCTAAGTGTGCTCTTGCCATCATGCTGTGATGCTGCAGCTGAGCTGGACACAGGTCATATGCAAGTAGCCATGATAACTCGCCTAAAGCCTTATTCCAGTTCTTGTGATGGAAGTGCTGTTTCCCCTCAGTTTCTGTCCCTTCTCCCCATTCCTGGGGCTCCAGGGTTGAAGCCCCTGCTCTGCCACCCCCTTTCCCCTTCCCAAGGCTGCTGTTCACCCCATCCCCTCCTCTCCTGGCAGGCTCTGCATGCTGGGTGACAGGAAAGGG